CTTCAGTAACTTTCAGTTTTCTTTCTGTGGTAGTTGCATTCTCTTAATTTAAAACTTACTTCAACTTACTGTTTAGTAATAATTCTAACATTACTACTAGGAAAGTGAAAAATCTTCATTAAACATTCTGTTATTTTAAGAGGTCTCGTAATCATCTACAGAACTCTTAACACTATGCTCCTGAAATTTTATTGTTTTTTTCATCTTTTTTATTATAGAAATTTTGAAAAATCTTGATGTTAAGATGGCCATATGGGCGTGTTTTGAGTAGAATTTCTTTGACATTGTTTTTACACAGATATCTACAAATTGCAAATTTGAAGGTAGTGCTTGGACATGGCGGTTTTCACCTAGATCAAGGCTTTCAGTTGGGATTTTTCAAGAGAGAAGCACCGGTTACAAATCACATTTGTACAATGTTTTGACAAGTCCTTAGAATCTACAAACTGAACATTCGCGGGATCACAACTTTAGCAAAATTATATAATGCAAAAACTACTCATTGCCATTTTAAAACAGTGGTACTGTTGCTTAATTGTGACAAGACTTGCTCTGTCATTGTCCATTACGTGATTTTTCACAATTTTTACCTTCTAAGTGCCTACAAAAATGTAATTTTTTAATTAATTACCGTGTTCATTGGTTTCGACAAATTTAACTTTACATTTTGGATTTCATTATTTGAAAAATTATTGTTTCTTTGCAGAACAGACCAGATGATTTATTATGTTGAACTCTAATCTACTTCCAAGGTGTAATTCATGACGAAGCCCTTAAACGCTTTTCTGGTAATTTACAATTTTTGAAGGTCAAATGTATTGCAGTAGCGTTCACAGATGCTCGATAACACATTTGACAGATTTGTTTTGACGTTCGTGACATTTCAAAAGAGTTCAAATCACTTTGGTGATTAGTGGCACAAGAAAAATTTCACTTGTTATTCATTGGTGGGTTGACTACAGCATTTTATGATGACCTGTATAATATTTATTGCATTATTTGATAAAGCTTATTTTTCTGCATATGTAATTTGATGTAAATTGAGAAAATTAATATCAAACAAAATAAACTTGATTATAATGATTAATATTAAATAAACAAAACAATACGTTGGAACAAAAATGTATGCTACAGAAATTGTTCAAACTGCTGTTCCTCATTCATTCATACTGTGGAGATTTATACGAGTCATTTCATGACGAATTCATACCTTAAAATCGTCTAAGAAATTATCGGGGTGTTCATGTACACGACTTTTTAAATGTCCCCATAAAACAATCAAGGTGTGTCAGATCCGGAACCCTAGGTGGCCATTCTATTGGTCCACGCCTTCCAATCCACCTTCCATCAAATTGTTTATCCAAAAAAAAAAAAACTTTACATTTACGCTACAATGTCCCAAGCAGCAGACTGTCGTCTAATTCACGTCAATTTTTGGTCATAACTCTTCGGCGACGTCATTCGCCCAAAAAATCACGTGATAATGACGAGATTTTTATGACTTACTTCTGACGTCAATTAATGACGTCAAAAGGCCGTCTTTTCTTCGTCATTTTTTATAGATTATATGATCAATTAGATGTGGGTCGTCGTATTCTTTAAAAAAGTGGCCTTCATCATGCTTAATTATATTTAGAGCAAAAAATACAACGGCTTTATTAGAAATACACCAAAGACAAATTTTTTCATTCTAATAATTTCTAATAAAATCATTATTTCTGAAAACTTGTTTACTCTGGAAGTGTTATTTTGTAAGTACCTGCTTGGCACATTATAAATAGAACATCCGGGGTTGAGCGTATAATAGTGAAAAGACCCTATGACACAAACAAAGTCACAAAAATTCTTTGTCCATTGTTCCCAAAACGGAAGAAGGTTTTGAAGAATTCCTTGGTCGAATTTTGATTTTATAAAGACGTTTATAAAGTAATGATGGTTAAAAAAAAATTAGAGAGTGATTTAAAATTTAGTTTTATTAAATTTATTTCATCTAATGAAAAAATAATGCTCAACTTCCGTATTTACTATACAATACATCAGATGTTTGAGGCGTGCATTCGGACTTCCCCTTTTTTCGGTATTTATGGTTATTGCACTTCACAATGAAGCATTCCAATATTTCCAGTTGGTTCTCAACCACCGAACCTTTCTCGTGTATCCGTTACTCACTTCATTTTTAACGCAGTTTTGTGAAAATTTCTGCCATTTAGTGTGGGTTGTACTTATTTACACTAGGTAAATTAATATCTAATAAAATAATAATTTTAATTTTTACGCGTTTCTGTTATTTTTGTTAACTGTACGTAGATAACAAAAGCAGTTTTTTCAGATAAGCTGGAAAGACCACCATTAATTACTGAAGATACTCCCACTGATTATGAAGAACTTACGGTGATTGTTTTTGAAAATGAGGCGCCATAAAATATTGCAAAGGTATGTTACTGCAATTTTTTGTGAACTAATGCTAATGAACATAATTTTTTTCTAGATTTGAAACAAATACAAAACACATGTGCGAAACGAAAGAAATGCTAAAGAAAACGAGTGAAAAAATCTCCAACATGGAAACATCATCAAATTTGACAACTGAAAAAGAAAACTAAAATAGAAGTTATGCCGCCAAGACCACACCTAAACAAATTTTGACGAATTACAAGATTATCTTTTCCTATTAGAACAAGCAGATTTCTTTGTAAGTTAAAAAAATACAAGTAATTCACATATACATATAACATAATATTGGATATTATATACAGGTATAAATGCCTGTAATACTACATTAATGTGATTGTTAAAACAGAATTAATTCTTAATGGTACTTTTTTGTGTGTTGGGGACAGTCAAGTAGAAAGTTTTATAGTGCATTTTTAAATCAAGTAACTTCCAGAATGCCATTCAATTGTGTTTTCCCTTTATTGCAGGTTTTTTTTTTTAATAGTTTTTGTAAATAGATTTGTTTGTATTTTTAACACTGATTTATATTTTATTATAGTTTTCTTTTAATATTCTTTGTAACTAAATAGATTTCTTTGTGTTTTTAAAACTGATTTTTCTTTAAATAGCATATTTTATAGCAACGTTTATTTTTGATTATATATTGTATACTATCCTTTTTTTTGTTTATACTAATTATACTCGTAATTACCTGTATGTAGATTTGTTTGTGTTCTTAGGAGTGGTTTATCTTTAATTTGTTTAATTGACATATATTTTTTTATTTGTTTATTGAAGTTCATTGTTGGTTGTACAGAATTGTAGTAAATTGAACTTTTTTACACCAATTTGTTTTAACTTTAATTAATATATATTTTGCTTTGGGGTTTACCTGGTGATTATAACGAATTATATTTTATTTAAGGGAAACAATATAAAAATATAAAATTATTTCAGCGTTTTATTTATTGCATATTTTTTTCTAAAAATCAAAATATAGAAAACGTCTTAAAATGGACAATAAATGCCGTCTCTAAGACGTCAGTACATCACGTCAATAGTTCGTTAGAAAATGACGTCATCTGGACGAGACATTTGACCGTCATTGGTACGTCAATATCACGTGAAATCTTTGGTCATTATGACATAATTGATGACCATTTATTCACGTGAAAAAGACGACATCATGTTGCCTGGGGTGGTGGTGCTCCATCCTGTTGGAACCAAATCCTGCGATTTAAATTTTGTAGATGATCTAAATACCGATCTGCTATTAAATTTCCGTGAAAAAGGTAGAGGCCAATGAATCTTGTGTTTATTATTCGCAACCAAAACATTAATTTTTGGGGACGTTGGGTGTGTGCCGCTTGAACCCAATGAGGTTGTTCTCCTGCCCAATAAGGACAATTGTGTCTATTTACGGTACCATTTAAGTAAAAAAGTTCAGGGAATTTTTATTCTTCTGCATCGAATACCAACAAACTCACTATATTTTCATGGCCAACCCTACTATATTTGTTTACAAGCCACAAACTACCAGATTACATACAGCCAAAAAGTATTCTTTATTTTATTAAACCAACTTAAGAAACTAACAAAAGCGATTCTCTTCCACAAATTTTTGTTTTAATTTGTAGTTATTTGGATTTCATTTTGTTTCCTGTTCATATCATGTTTATTTCCTTTGTTATTAATTTTCTCCATTTTTTTGTTATGCAACCACTACATCAAGCTACGTTATGATATGTAGAAAAATAAGCTTTATCAAATAATTTGATCAAAATTACAGCGTCTCATATAAAAAAATCACTGATGACGTCGTAACTTTTACAAATTTGAGGTAAAATTTTTTTGACACATATCAAAAAATGGAGAGTAAAATGAAAGGCTTTTTTTCTAAAAGCAAATTCTGCACTTTTTGTGATGACGAATCTCTCAGAATTATCGTAAAAATAACAAAAATGTTTTAAAGAACATAATTACTGAAGACAGATTTTCTTTACTATCTTCTATTATTTGGATTGGAATAATGAAATTTACAGGTGTGAGGATATTTCAAATATTGTATAAACCTTTTCACATTCAAAATCAAAAGAATAGAAATTAGTGTATTAGAAACGATTTTAATAGTATTTTAATATATGTTCGAACTGTAATATAGGAGTCATCAAATTTAGATTAGATTACTATGCCATTGATTTCAATAGAATGACTTACGTATATATTTTTTTTAAATGACTACTCGTTAACGTTTCCTTCTATAGTGTTTTTTTAATTTTTAATAAAAAAAAAACATGAGCGCTGTCAATAAAACAAACAAATTGTGAAAAATGAAAACAAAAAATTTACAAAATACACCTAGGTATTCATAAAATAATTTAATAGCTGTGGGGCACTGATGGCCGTGACTTTTAATATTAAGTCATCAAAACAGTCAACACAACAAAGTGATTTCTTCTAAAGGATGTAATCATGTTTTATTTAAAGAATCCTAATCATTGTTTATCGCAAAATTGTGAAACAACAAGTACTTTTAAGTACAAATAAAAATGCACAGAAATACTGACCTTTCATCGAGTAGTCCTTCTCCATCGGTAATGACTGTCCCATTGGCTCTGCATTGATAATATGGTACACAAACACAATCACCTGCAGTTTGCGAATACACCGTATAAAGTAAAACCGAACAAAGGACAGCGATTTGACTCCACATCTTGAAGATTCCTTGAGTAAACTAGCGATTATTACAGGACTTATTTATATATACTGGTAACTGGTTCACGAAGATAAAACTTGAACGACTCACGTGTAGGGGAAAACCAGTAACATCGAAGTAGTAGATTAAATTTCACAATCCCTATCATTAGTGTCAAACGTACAAATGCACAATGTATTATTTACCGCACAACTTATTTTGGATATATATTTTGGTGTTTCATCCGGCCAAAAAGACATTTTTTTTGTTTAAACTAGGAGTATAAACTCTCCTCTACACTATGTTTTGGGAAATACGCACAAGAATACCATACGAGTCCATGGAATTTCAATTGCTAATTTCTTGTAAAACAAGTAACTGGTAAGCCCCAACAATGAGTGAAAGCATTTTTGATATAGTTCAAGTTACTTAGTTTTGTACGTAAGTGAAGGTCACAGATATACATGGTGTATTGTTTCTATGTGGTGCCAGTAGGTTGTTGTCCTGTATAAAAAACACTAACTATGCTTTTCTTGAACAATTTTTACCTGCTCTGTGATGAATGATGATGAAACATAAATCAGACTTAAATGTGTCTGAAGACACGAGTTGCTTTGTTTCGTTGTGGCTTTAAATATAGTTTCGAATTTATTTATAGAAAAGAAGACGAAAAAATATTATATCTATCTTATGTTTTTTAAGTAAGTATTTTATTTTTATTTTTATATACATATACCCCCAGAAGTTTTCAGAAAAAATTGTTTGCCCTATTTACACAAAAATGTTTTAAATAAAATTAAGAAAATTATAGACAATAGCTGTAAATTAAATGAAAATAAATAGAAAAAATTATTAAAGTTGTCAGATGCGGTAAACTGATTTATCTTAATTTAGTTCAGGTATTTTGTTTAGCATACAAAATGAATCGAGTGGCAGGGGAGATTAGGTATCAGTTTACTAATAGCCTCATTAGTATGTAAACAAGGTTTTCATAAAATGTCCATTATGAATTTAATCGTTTTGAGAAAAAATGTCTTAAACACACTTGTCGTCTAAAACTAGTTCTAAGCAGATGAGGTATTTCACTGGAAGCGCAATATTAAATGAAGGGCTTTCATTAATGTTTGACATTTAGTAGGCGGTGCATTTTGTTTGTAAGTTGACACTAGTGACAAACTGTCAAGTTCAATTTGAAATTTTTTAGAATTTTAGGTTTCTAATTATACTTATTTTTCATTTATTCGATTTTTCAGTTTTTAGATATTTTCCAATTCTTAATTTTTCAGTTTCTCGATACCAACCTGTATCACAAAAGCAGCAAATTCTTATAAAAAATGCGGTGACACATTTCTTGACGTACGATATTTTATAGTCGCTCTGTATAAAAGACATTACTCGAGCGTAAGCTAAGGAAGTATTGTAATAGTGTCCATCCGACGATTTAAATTTTATAAGAAAATATACTCCTGTACTTGTGGTTTATGAACACGTTTTAAATTTTTTACCCTGGACATCACAATTTTCGCAAAAAATATAATCCACTATACATGTCTTATGTATAGATGTTATCACAAATAAAATGTCAAAATCAGATAATTTTCCAAAGAAACAAATTTTCGATTTGCAATTTTTCGTTTCGGATTTTAAATTTTTTTATTGTTGTAATTTTTCTGTTTTTCAATGATTTTATAATTTCTTTTTTCAATACGAAAATTTTCAATTTTTGCATTTTTGAATTTTTCGATTTACAATTTTCCGGATTTTCAAATCTTACATTTTTTATGTTTAGTTTTTCCAATTTTAGATTTTTCAGTTTCATGATTATTCAATTTTTCATTTTTAAATTTTTGATTTTCAATATTTTTAGTTTTTATTTTATATATGTAATAATCATAATAATAATTATTTTTTTTTACTTTTTTAATTTTAGGATTTTAGAATTTCTCCATTTTTCAATTATTGGATTTTAAAACAATTTCATTTATTGGACTTTTCACTTTATCAGTTTTTAGTATTTCAATTTCTCGATTCTTTGATTTTTCATTTCTCCAAATTTTCGATTTGCAATTTTTCGTTTCGGTTTTTTATTATCTTTTTTTACAGTTTTTCGATTTTTTCAATTATTCGTTTCCTCAATTTTTGGATTTGCAAGTTTTCAAATTTTTCATTTCTTTCTTGTTCAATTTTATGTAAAACAATAATAGTTCAGTTTCCATTTTTTAATTTTTAAGTTTTTCGATTTTCCAACTTTTGGATGTTTCAAGTTTTAGATTTTACATTTTTTCTATTTCACGAGTTTTCACTATTTGGCACTTTCAATTGTATGATTTTAGAATGTTCCCATTTTTCGATTATTGCTCTTTTCAGTTTTCCCATTTTTAATTTTTCAGTTTTTCGATTCTTCAATTTTTCATTTCTTCAAATTTTCGATTTGCAATTCGAATTGTTCGGGTCTTTTATTTTATTTATTGCTTCAATTTGTCGATTTTAGAGTTTTTCCATTTTTCAGTAATTGGATTTTAAAACTTTTCCATTTATTTGATTTTTCAATTTTAGTTTTTCAATGTTTCAATTATTTGTTTCTTCATTTCTTTGATTTGCAATTTTTCGATTTTCCACTTTTTTCAATTTGGCAACTGTTGATTTTTTTAGTTTTTAAATTTTTCATTTGTCTGATCTTTTAGATCTAAGATTTTTAATTTTTTTTTTTACAATTTTTCGATTTTTTAATGTTCCGATTTTATAAAATAATAATATTGAAAAATCAAAAATGAAAAAGCTCAGAAGCCTTTGAAAAATCCGAAAACTAGAAATCAAGGGCTTGAAAAATTGAAGAAACGAAAAACTGAAAAATTGAAAATCTACAAAATCGAGAATTTGGATGTTTCAACTTTTTAATTTTTCAACTTTTCATTTCTTCAGTTTTTCATTTCAGTTTTTAGATTTGCAATTTTTGGTTTGGGTTTTTAAATTTTTCTGTTTTGTAATGTCCCGATTTTACAATTTTTCATGAGAAATTTTTCAATTTTTGGATTTTTCAATTGTTTCTTTTGTAATTTTTCGATTTCTCAATTTTTCGTTTCTAATTTCTGATTTGTAGTTTTTCTAGTTATCATTTTAAATATGTAATAATAATTATAATTTTTAAAAATTTTCAGTTTTCAGTTTTACGATTGTAGAATTTTTCGGTTTCTCAATTTTTCGAATTTTAATTTTTTAGCTTCTTGAAATTTAATTTTTCAATTTTTCGATGTTTTTACAGTGTTTAGAACTTACAGTTTTGACGTTCTATAATTTTTCGATTTTACAATTTTTGAGTTTTCCAATTTTCGATTCGATTCGTTCTTTCTTCATCCCAGTTTTGCGAATCATTAATATTTTTCGAGTCTCCCGATTTTTGGTTTTTTAATGTTTCCGTTTTTCGTTCCTTCAGTTCTGCGCTTTTCCACTTTTTTGTTTTTACAGTTTTTGGATTTTCCAAGTTCTTCCAATTTTTTGCTTTTATGATTTTTAATTTTTCGATTTTTCAACTTTTCGGAACAAAAAAGTGGAGAATTTACAAAATTGTAAAATTGAAAAATCAAAAATGAAAATGCATAATATGAAAACTTTGAAAAATCCAAAAACTGGAAATCAAGAATATGAAAAACTGAAGAAACAAAAATTGAAAAATCGAAAGATTAAAAATTGAGAAACTTAACAGAGAAGTTTTATATGTATTGTATTTTCGGAAAATCGTGCAGATGGGAAAACGCCAACCAAAATTTGTTTAATCTTACTCACTAACAATGTGGTGACGTCGCCTCAAAATTTTGCGCAGTTAAAATCTTTTTGTTTTCACCTTAGACGTTCAGATTTTTACCTTCCGAGCGTAAGTCCACGGGCCGAATTTCCACTTTCATATTTTCTCGACGTGTCATGACTTCTACAGTACGAAAAAAGTGGTCTCTCGTTTCCGTCTGTCTGTCTGTTTGTTTGTCTGTCTGTCTGTCCGTCCGTCTGCCGTCCCGGATTTTCGTTAGACAAGTCATCTCCGAACCTACTGGACCTATTGTTGTCACATTTTGTATGTATATTACAAATATCATGTAGATGGTTAAACGCTAACTAAAATGTGGATAGTCACTCCCACCACCAATGGGATGACGTCATCTCCAAAATTTATAATAAAAAGTCTTTTTTAAATTTTATAAATTAAAATACTCCTGCGTGGTGTGTGAAACAGTGTCGAATTTTCACCATATACATCCAGAATTTTTGGAAAAAACTCAAAACTGAATAACAATATTTTGCAATATAACTTTGAAACTGCAAAACCTGTTGCCTTGAAATCTTGTAAATATTTTAAGGTTGTCATAATCATTGTAAATCGTTAAGCAAAATTTATTCGTTTTCCCTTCCCAAAAATTTGATGACGTCATCTCAAAATTTTGTGGAATAAATCCTATCCAAAATGTGCAAAATATGATGAGTCTACTTGTGTCTCATAAAAATTAATGAATGAGTCAGTTTATTTTATTGATTAAATCGGGAACGGCTCACTCCGTTTTCCCGAAAATTTGGGAATACAATACTGTTGTCATTAGTAGTACACTGCACCTACCCAAAGTCATATACGTGTCTTTGCAAAAATGTTGATGATGTCATAGAATTCTAGAAAAGAGATGCTCATAAAGATTAGAAAAAACATTGGAAGAAATACAAAGTAGCTTTGGGAAGAACCAGGGAATTCAAGATCAGATATTGATAATGATAAGTCAGTGATAATTGGTAATATAAAGAAGACGCACGACGTCAAAAAAAGAGGCAGATGTACGGAACAGATAGAACAAATTAACTGTTTAGGACCCAATGCCAAACTTAACATTTGAGAGTGAATAAATAAATATGGATAACGAAAGATAGATAGAAATCAAAAATAAATATCAAAGGAAAAAATAGACGTAATAAAATTAGAAATAGAGCGTTTAGGAACAACAACGAACGCAGTAAGTATAGAAGATAATATATTAATAAAACAGATAAACGAAGCAAATAACCGAGGAAAAGAAAAAGTGGGAGCCAGAGAAAAACTTGGAAAGAAGCAAAAATTTTATTCATTTTGTGACACCTTATGATATTGAAAGAAATATGATTCGTTTGAAACAATTGAAATAAATTTTCCATATTAACACGCACAGGTACCTAAAACAATAAGAATTATTTTATTACCTGTTTGCATTCAATATCGATTCATATCAGTTATCAAACTTACAAATTATCATTAAAGGATATCACCATAATTAAATTAAATCGAATTAAATTACGTAAGTCTGGGGCCTGAAACGTCTGACGCTGGTCATAAATGTTCAATGTTGACTAAAACCAGTAGTTATGCGAATCGTCTCAAAATTAACTTGGCTGGTAGATATTAGTTTCCAAATTTCTAGAAGACATCTCTTTATCAATCCATTTCCTCAAAACCGAGACATCTGCATACACTCCAGGAATTCCTTCCGTATTACAATCAATACCCCAGGCCACTATCCCCACTTGCTGGAACCTATTCTCTTGACCTTCAATAGGGCAAAACAAAGGACCGCCCCCATCTCCAGTACACGCATCTTTATCCTTCTCCCCTCCCGCACAGATGAAACTTTCGTGGAGATTAAAATACTGTCCGACCCTTGTTGTTCTCAAGGCTTTCTGACAATCAGGTCTCCCAATCAAAGGCAGATCAATTTTCTTCAAAATGGTTGAATCATTCTGATTTGGAGCAATTTTAGGCTTTCCCCAACCAATCGTAAAACATCTGGTATTCGTCGAAATACCCTCTGCTGGTGCTAAACATGCGACGTTGATGTGTGGCTTAAGGTTGAAAGCTTCGGACAAAAACACCAAGGCGACGTCATTATAGTAAATTTTGTCTCTGAATCCTTCATGGGACTTGATGGCGAACACGCCACGATCTTCGTGCTTCATAATTTCGTTGGTGCTTGAGGTGTCCCATTCCCCAGCTCGTACAGTGTAGGTCCTGTTGTTGAAGAACTTGACGCAATGGGCAGCCGTTAGGACGACGGAAGGGTGGATCAAGGAACCTCCACATCGGTACTTTGAGTCTTCGAAAATTTGTACCATCCATGGGAATTCTCCGAAGACGGATTCGTTGCCGAGGGAGGTTGTGCTGTCTCCGGCGTTGGAGTTACCGATGCCGTTTGAGTTGCTGTAGCCACAAGCTGGCAAGGTTTCGGGTTGACGGGAGACCACGGTTTCGTTTTTGGGGAGGAGGCAGCAGACGTCGGTGCCTTGACAGTTGCAGTTGTTGCATGAATCACCAAGTCTGTAAAAAATTTGTCTCCTTAATAGATTGCGAAAGAGATACCTATACCTATTAACTGTTATAATTAAGTGTGCTACTGTCCGAAATGGTTATGGAGCAATCTCACGATCCTTCATTCAATAAAGTGAATTCACAGTTTCACAACATAACTTGGACTTATCTGTAGCTGAACTTAGAAAGCTAGGTTATGTTATGTTTAGAGAGCGGATTTCTAGGTTTAATGCTTTTTGTGAAAAATGTAAGCACTTCAAAACTTTTTTATATCTGTAACTATGATACAATTTGGAGTCATTTGACACATTTTTTTTATGCTTATTTGTTTTTTTTTTCAATTTTATGCATATTAAAACTTATATGCTTATTTAATGCTTTTTTCGACGAATATGAGTTTTAATGCATATTTTGTTCAAATGCCGGCCTTGTCGGGATGACATATACTTTTTAGTCAGCCGTATCGTATCGTATGCACTTTACCTAGACTTGACCATTGAAGTACACTTACTCAAGACCCTTTCTGTGAATAGGTTCCGATCGTTTGGGTAATGAAATTTTATTATAGGATTGGAAAAATACTCCATGGATTTTATGACTTTAAATCCTTACTTCCACTGATAATGAATTAAGGCTTTTAACCAGATGTTCTTTTTCGGCATTTTGCGGCAAGACCGTTGAAGATTTTCTAGAAAAAAGGATTATTGTACCCAACTACCTACCTTAAAATTTTTCTAATGGAAACTTTTAAGTAAATGAACCGTTTATTTCACAACCATCAGTCTATCGCATCTGTCGTAGTAGTGTTATATATGGTTCTCCCTTGTTAAATGTTGAGTTCTTTTTGGTAATATTACTAATATTTTAAAAGAATGCCGAAAGTAAAATCGACGCCGGATGAGTGGATAAGGGATTTTCCAGAATTAAAATTAGAAAACAACAAAATATTCTGCAGAGCTTGTGTGAAAACCGTAAGCCCACTAATTTTTTTTTATCTATTTTCCTTTATTTATCCTGTATATGTCCGTTGTTTTAGATTCAAAGTGATAAAAAATATAACGTGACGCAACATGTCAGAACGACTCTTCATGTAGAAAGGAAGAAAATGTTTGAAGTTTCTAAAATTAAACAGCAGACCATACATGAATCTGTTGCATCTACTTCCACAAAAGATGAGCAGTTTCAGTTTAATTTCGATTTATGTAAAATGATGATCCAATCCAATATACCTTTAAAAAAAAATGGAGAAAGGCCCTCTTCAAGAATTCCTTGAAAAACACTGCAATCGACATATTCCGGTTGAAAGTACTCTCCGAAAAAATTATGTAGGCCCAGTGTTTCAGCAAGTTTACAACGAAATTAAACATCGCATTGGAGATAAATATTTATGGTTCGCTGTCGATGAAACAACCGATTGTTGTGGAAGATATGTAGCAAATTTAATTGTTGGAATCTTAAATGAAAATTTCCCTAGTCGAGGGTATGTAGTAAGTTTGAAAATGTTAGATAAAATAAATGGAAATACGATTACCAGATTTGTAAATAACAGTCTTACGTCACTATTTTTACCAATAAAATTTTATTGATGATCTCGGATGCAGCTCGTTATATGTTGAAAGCAGGGAATAATCTAAAAATATTATACCCCAATTTAATTCACTCTACTTGCATTGCCCACGGTTTAAACAGAGTGGCTGAAGGAATACGTTTGCAGTTTCCTACTGTTAATAAATTAGTGGCAAATGGTAAAAAGATTTCTGTTAAAGCCCCACTAAGAGTGCAACATTTTAAGGAAAAATTTCCAAACATACCATTGCCCCTAGAGCCGATTATAACGAGGTGGGGAACATGGTTACTGGCCACATTTTATTATGACAAATATATCAAAGAATTTGAGGAAGTAGTTGGGAAGTTTAGCGAAGATTCTTCTCAATCGATTAAAGATTGCATAAATATTTTGGAAAACAAAGATTTCCGACAAGATCTACCTTTTCTAAGAAGCAATTATCAATTCGTATGTGAGGTAATAGAAAAGTTAGAAAAACCCAACATGTTGTTGGTAGATGCCATAAACTGAGTGAAAGAATTTAAACAACAAGCAAACGCAGTAAGGGGTGATATTGATACTAGAGTATCTCAAAAACTTGACGAAGTGTTAAATAAAAATGCAGGTTTCGGTGTTCTTTCCGACGTTGCTCGTGTTTTATAAGGCCAGAAGGTGGAAAATTTGGAGGTAGATTCAACATTAGTTGCAAAATTCAAATTTGCGCCAACAACGAGTGTGGATGTTGAACGCACATTCTCCAATTTTAAACACATTTTAAATGCTCGGCGAAAAAATTTTACAGTGGACAACTTGGAACATATTACAATCATAAATTGTTTTAAAGAAAACTGAAATACGTGTGTAAAATATAAAGTCTAGGATTATTGTAATAATATTTTATCCAAAGTTCTAAGAAGTGTTCTTTGATTTTAATATGATTATGTTTTTAATGCTTTTTTGCTTAAAATAAAACTTTTTTATTCAAAATGTTGTGCTTATTTAAGCGCTTATTCTTAATTTCTTAATTTTTTTGTGCTTATAAATCCGCTCTCTAGTTATGTTAACAAGAATTAAACTCTAGTTGGATTTAAAATGATTTGTTTATAATAAGTAACATAGTTAATGTTATGTAGGAGATTTCTCACTCATTATTGCACCTTGTTAACGACTCATTACTCTATTAAGTACCTATGTGTTGTTAAAAATAATTAAAAATACTGTTTGTAATAGAATTATACTATCTGGTGCAAAAAATTACTTTCTTCTTCTCAACATGGGTCTAGACATAGTACAAGAAGACATGGTATGATACTGCTCATTTTGTGTGACGTCATGTCTTCTTGTACCATGGGTCTAGACAACAGAAACAGCAACCTTCTATTTTGTTGATTTCATTAATAAACAGATGCTTTTGACATAGTGAATTATGATTTGATTGTTTCTTTTAATATTGACCACACACTTATAATCTAGTAGTATATCTCAGGACTCCATCATTGGTCCACTCATCTTTTCGGTTTTCATCAATGAAATGGAAGAAAGTGTAAAAAAGATTCTTTGATTGTCTACGCAGACCAATAGCGAATTCATGTTAATTGAAGGAAGAATGAAAGGTTTTCATGAACGAGGCAGTATTGGAAATGTTATAAAATTGTGGAAAAAATAACCTAATTTTAAATGAAGAGAAAAGTGTATTAATGTGTTTCAGTAGAATAGATCTTGTAATTAAAGAGTGTTGGGGCTAAACGTGTAAGAGTATTATTGTTATATATATATATTAATCAAGTTACAATGTTGAAAAACAAAGACATTATTGTTCTTATGTTTTAGAATAATTTTCAATTATGACATTTCGTTGAAATAAAGAATGTTATAAAAAATATCTAAAACTGTTAAATACACAACAGTTTTAGGCGACAATTGATTAAAAAAACATGGCGGAAGATTTATTAGCATTAGTAACGGCCCTTAGTGGATTGGTGTCTACATTACAAAAACAATGAACATCGACTGCAAGTGTACAAGAACTTTTGCAAACCCAGGCTATAACTTTCGACGGACTTGATGAAAGCGTTGAAAATTTTGAGAGTTACAGTCAAAGACTCGAAAATTTTTTCAAATTAAGAGGTTTGCATAAAAACGACAAAGAAACTAGTGATGTCAAAGTTATGGTATTAATAAATTGTTTGGGCAGCAGAGATTACAAATTACTTGCAAGTTTGACCTCTCCAGAACTACTAGCTACAAGAACCTACCAAGAATTAATTGATTTTCTAAGAAATCATCTTGCACCGAAGAAAAATGTTTTAGCTGAATAACATAAATTCTTTTTAAGAGTTCAACAACCAGGTGAATCAATTTCTACATTCGTTGCAGGATTAAAAAAATTAATTAAAAATTGTGAATTCAAGACGGAATGTAAAGTAAATGAACCTCCTTGTTTTACTTGTTCGAAATTTGTGATCGACATGTTACTACGAGCTCAGTTTATTCGAGGACTACAAGATGCCAGCATTAGATAAAGAATTCTTCAATTAGTAAATGTCTCCTTTGATAAAACATTAGAAACAGCATTGGCAATCGAAGTTTCAAGAATTCAAAATCGAGAAGTTTATAACAACTCATCACATGCGTCAAATAATGTTCATAAAATTGGTTTTACTGGTTTTATCAAAATATAATCAAAATAGATCTTCACGTCAAAAATCTTCAAAAATAAGAGGTCGAAGCAGAAATTTACAAGAATTGGGTCTATCCGGATTGTGTTTACATTGTGGAAAAAAGAATCATCAAACTGACAACTGTCGCATCAAAGAAAAACTTCACCCACAAATAAAGTAGGTATGTATTTCTACTTTACTCCAAAAAAACGACAAACTGTCAAAAACGGCGACATCGGTTCAAATTCCTCTGTTGATGAATTTCAAATAAATGATATTATCGACAACTTCAATACTTCTTCGTCAGCTTATGAACCAAGAATGTTCATTACAGTACAAATTCTTGCCAAACCAGTTAAATTTGAGTGTGATACCGGCAGTCCAGGCAGCATCATTTCAAAGAAAATCTTCGATGCGTTGAATTTTAAAGTGACTCTTTGAAGTACAAACATTCAATTTCGTTCTTATACTTACAAAACAAATATTTAAACCTCTGGGTTACATACGAATACCTGTTACATATAAAAAGAAGAAGTTCATGGGAGATTTATTTGTCGTTTCTGATTGTGGTAAAGTCATTATGGGAAGAAGATGGATTCGAAACCTACAGATAAGTCTTCATGACTTTTATTCTATTTCTACTTGTCAACCATCAATGTCAGAAATTTTCAATCAATTCAGCGACATTTTTCAACCAAAAGTTGGTGAAATTCCAAACTATCAATGCTCTTTATCTCTTCGAGTTAATACACAACAAATTTTTATAAAGCCTCGTCGAGTTCTCCTTACGCCCTCCAAGAGAAAGTTGAACAGGAATTAGATGACTTAGAAAATCGAGGTATTATTAAGAAAACTGATCACTCCGAGTGGGGAACACCTTTGGTTATTGTGCCGAAGAAGAATGCTGTCATTAGACTGTGTGCTGATTACAAAGTAACTATCAACAATCAACTTCCAAGATAATCGTTATCCTATTCTCAGAATAGAAGATATTTTCAATAAAATGACAAATGGTAAATATTTCTGCACATTAGACGTCTTTAAAGCATATTTATATGTTCCTGTTGATGATGAAAGTGTACGAATACAAACAATTTCAACTTATCGAGGTACCTATTTAGCTAAACGACTCTTCTTTGGTATCACAACAGCTCCAAATGAATTTCATAAAGTCATCGATCAAATTGTTCACGATTTAGAAGGTACCACAGCGTATTTTGATGATATAATGGTTCAAGGTTCTTCAATTGAAAAATGTAAATTTCGTTTAATTAAAGTTCTTGAACGATTACGTAAATATAATCTGCATCTGAATCGAGAAAGATGTAAATTTTTCAAAAAGAGAATTCAATATTTGGGTCATGTCATTTCAGAAAAAGGATTCGAAAATCTGAAGACAAAATCAAAGCGATCATAGAAGCACCAAGGCCGAACTCTTTAGAAGAACTTCAATGTTTTCTTGGAATGGTGATGCATTATGCAAAATTTATTCCCAGTGCATCCATCATGTTATATTCGTTAAACCGTCTGTTAAGAAAAGACACAAATTTTAAGTGGTCTATCGAATGTGAAACAGCGTTCAAAAAAGCCAAAACTGAAATAGCCAGTGAACGAGTTCTCATGTCTTTTACACCTGATTTAGACATAACACATGCCACAGACGCCAGCCTGTATGGATTTTCAGGTGTTTTGTCACATCGTTTTCCAGATGGATCTGAAAAACCAGTTGCTTTTTCATCCAGGTCGTTCACAAAAGCTGAACGTAGTTATAGTCAATTAGATAAACAGGTAAGAGCCATTTATTGGAGTTTCAAAAGTTTTTTTCATTATATTTATGGAAGGAAATTTATTCTAATTGTGCATAATAAACCACTGAGTATTATTTTCAATCCTCAAAAACAACTTCCAGCCTTATCTGCAACCAGAATGTTAAGGTATGCAGAATTTTTATCCGGTTTCAATTATTCCATCGAATGTCGAAAATCCAGTGAACATGTAAATGTTGATTATTTCTCCAGAAGTCCATTGAAATTATCACCAAAAGAAGAAAAACAAACTGATGATGAATACGTGTTAAATACTATTTTACACGTATTCATATTACACACAGCTCATGAAATTGAAAAAGAAACAAGAACACATCAAGAATGATGTAAAATGAAGAAAGAAATTCTAAATGGAACCAGAAGAGATCTAGAATTTTCACTGCACGATAGAATAATATTTAGAGGACATCGTCTGGTAATTCCAAAAAAATTACAACACATTATTCTGCAAGAACTTCATTCAACACACCTAGGAATGATTAAAATGAAATATCTGGCAAGAAACTATTGCTACTGGAAAACTGTCAATTGTGACATCGAAAATATGGTTAAAAGTTGTCAAGCTTGTTGCGATGTTAAGAAGAATCCTACAAAGGCATCGATTCATCAATGGGAAATACCAGAAAAGAATTATCAACGTGTATACATGGATTACGCAGGCCCATTTTGCAACCATCATTTTCTAATTCTTGTTCATACCAAATACAAATGGCCAGAAGTAATTATGGTTAAAAATTCTCCTACATCAGCAAACACCACGTATCATTTACGACAAATCTTTAGCCGGTATGGATTACCAGAAATATTAGTTAGTGACAATGCAACCATCTCCAAATCAAATGAATTTAGAGCATTTTGTGAACGGAATGGTATTAAACAACGGATGATTGCACCAGAACATTCAGCCACAAATGGTCAAGCAGAACGATACTGTCAAACATTAAAAACAAAATTTAAATGCATGATGAATGCACCCGGTGATTTACACGCGAAACTTTGTAAGTTCTTCCTCGGTATCGAGTTACTCCGTTATCTTCTAGACAGACACCTTCTGAACTTTTTTTTGAAAGAAATGTATGAATCAAGTTAGATTTTATGAGACCATCTGATCATCAAAAAAGAAAAACAAATCGAGTTTCGAGAAGCATTTTCAAGTGGGCAATAGAGTTCAATCCAGAAATTATTCAAGACATGGATAATGGAAGTATGGAATAATTACAAAATGTATTGGTAGTCTACACTATTTAGTAGAACTACTAGATGATGGTTATGTAATTAAGCGTCATTACAATCAACTTTGTTCCTCTAATGTGGAGAAGAAAATGAATATCAACACTGAAACAGGTTTTGGCACTACCTTGGATCTAGAAGTTGATTGTAAGAATTCCCCAAACACCAACATTCTGATTCAATCAACACAAAATACACTAAATCAAGAGCTCATTCAAGAGAATGAAATTAGGTCAACAGAAGAACATATCGTACCGGCAGGTGTCGAGTCACTACCAGTTATTGTTCAAAAAGATGATCAACTTGAACAACAATTAATGGGTCCAGAAACAAGCGCACAGTCCGCGATACGTCGATCTACTAGAATTAAGAAACCAGTTCAGCGGTTAAATTTGTAATCTAAGTATTCTACTGATTGAACTATGAAATTAGGGAGGCAAGACTGTTATATACATTAATCAAGTTACAATTTTGAAAAACAAACACATTATTGTTATTGTTTTAGAATAATTTTCAATTATGACATTTCAATGAAATAAAGAATAATATTAAAAATATCTAAACTGTTAAATACACAACAATTATTATTATTATTATTATTGTGCCTAACCTAAATTAAAGTAACTATAATTACTAGAAATTTTTCAAACTGCTTCACTAGCTTCTACTATTATTTGGACTGAAATAATGAAAAGTACCAGTTGTGTGCAGATATTTCCAATAATTGTATCAACTTTTGCGCATTCAAAAGTGAAAACTCAGAATTTGGAGATAAAAAAGTTTAGTTTTTTATTTGCTGATATCTGAAATTGATTGTAGATACTTACACGTACACATTTCACTTTGTTTTTGTTAAGTCTTAATTAGTGGTATCAGAAACGATTTTAATGTTATTTTAATGTGCGTTAAAACTACAATACATTTATCAAATTTAGAGTAGATTGCTACGCCACTTTAATTTTTTTAATGCAAATGTCTTGAAATATCAGATTAATAAATTCCAAAAACATAAAATGGCCAGTCGTGTTAAACGTAGGTACTGTATCATTACTGCGTTAAAATAAAGATTATTATTAATGAGAAACAAATTAGAAGCAATTAAAGTCAAAAATTTACGAAATATACCTAGAAATTGATAAAATAATTTAATTAGTATTGACTGTGATTTTAATATTAATTAGGTAATCAAAACAATTAACACAACAAATCGATTTCTTCTAAAGGATGCATTGAAAGAATAATAATCACTGTTTACCACTAAACTGCGAAACAACAACTATACTTTTAAATACAAAGAAAAGTGCATAAAACCACTAACCTTTCACCAAGTAGTCCATCTCCATCAGTAATTACTGTACCATTGACACTGCATTGATAATATTGTACACATACACAATCATCTGTATTTTGCGAGTACACCGTATAAAGTAAAAACGAACAAAGGACAGCGATTTGACTCCACATCTTGAAGATTCTTGCGTAAACTAACCATTATTACAAGACTTATTAGTTATATATGCTACTAACTGGTTCAAGAAGATGAAATTCTCATGTAGGGGAAAACCGATAACACCGATGTAATAAGTAGTTTGCATGTCACAATTCCCTATTATTAGGGTCAGCCGCACAACTGCACAATGTATTCATTATTATTTGCTGCACAATTTATTTTGGGTATTGTTTTTTGTTGTCGTCTGGCCAAAAATACATTTGTTTTGTCTGAACCGAGAGTACAAACTCTCCCCTACACTCCCTTTCGGGAAATACACACAAGAATAATATATGCTACCATGGAATTTCAACTGCTAATTTTCTGGTAAGCCCCAACATTGAACGAAAGCATGTTTCATAGAGTTCAAGTTACAGTTTTGTACCTAAGTGAAGGTCACAGACATACATAGTGTACAGCAGGTTGTTGTCTTCTATAGAAATTATGCTTTCTTGAACATTTGTTACCTGCTCTGCGTTGATTTGCATTGGGATACGCTACCTGTTGTGGTGCAATTTTTTGAAACTTTTTTAACAAAATTATATCTAATTATATGGAGGGAAATCCACCTTTTCATTTGGGTATGGTGATAAAAACGGGATCCTTTAAATGGACGGTCGTTACTGAGAATAAAATTTTAATTTGGTGTGTCGCTAACATATTTTATGTCAAATTCATATCACTCATTCATAAACCAAAAGTACAGAGGTATATGTTTTTTCATAAAATTTAAATAGATTTACCAGGCAAAATTTTGAGGTGATTATTGGTGATCAACAAATTTTCGTTAGCGTTTCGTTGTTTACACGACACTTTGACAACAATCAGTCTACTGGTTTTAGAGTTATGTCTTTACTAAATTCTGCTTTTGTGCTTTTTGTTTTGGTTGTGGACTATAAGGTACCGAAAACTCCAGAAGAGTGCCTTTATTTCTAGATTTGCTTTATCATTAGTTTTTAATATTATTTGTTACCATAACCTCTGTTTCGGGTTCAGAGGTTTTATTTACTTTTTACTTGCGATTTTTCTGCACTCTTTTTTGTTAAAGTTCTTAATCGAACGATAAAGAAGTGTTCCCCTCTAGGGGGGGCAGTGTATTTCTGGCTCTGTTCTTTACTTTTTTTATCATTGAATAAAACTAACTTGAGAATGGCTATTAAATGCGGCAAATGTAACCGCACAATTAGTCGGTATGAGGCTTATATTGCTTGCACCAGAAGTTGTTATTCGAATTATCATTTAACGTGTGTAGGTGTAGATGATGAGTCATTCGATAAATTACAACAGGACGGAAAATTTTCATCGTGAAGTTGCAGTTTTTGTGAAATAAGTAAGACTTCTAAGCCTCTTGGCGCTGTTTATCAGTCTGCCATACCATTTTCTCAGAATGTTAATCTGCCTGTTGCAGAATTTAAGCGTTTAATTGAAGATGTTATTAAAACTCACACCAAACCTCTAGCTGATCAAATTGGAGAACTAACTACAGAAATTCAGATATTATCTACAGAAAAATTTGTAAACGCGTAATCTTTTAGGGAAGGAATTGAGTCAAGATGAAATAAATGCCAAAACTTCATATGCACAGACTCTAGTAAAAAATTCACAAAGTACAATCATTGTTAAACTATACGATAAGAATCAGTCCATCTCTAAAACTAAAGTTGATATTATCACTAGCGTCAATCCATTAGCATCTTCTTTAAATATTGGTAAAGTCAAAAATATGAAAGACGGTGGTATATTACTTGGTTGCGATAATATTGGTAAGCTTAAAGAAATTGCAAAGGATAAGCTGTCTAATGATTATGACATTCAAGCAACTAAATCATTGCGTCTTAAAATTAGAATTTCAGGCTTCTCAGAGAACATCCAAGAGGACAATCTACTAACCTATCTCAGGGTTGGGCAAAATACACTTTCCACTGTAATTGAAATACAAAATACCAAATACTTCAATTTAATGTATTTGAAATACAAATTACAAAATACATTTATGTCTTGTAGTTGAAATACAAAATACAAAATAGTATTTCAAATACATACTTTTAAAAATACAAAATATGTTCAGGACAGTGGCAAAAATAAAATTTTGATAGAAGCTCGTTCCTAAAAATTTTAAAGTTAACTGTCAGAATTCTTTCACTATCTTTATAAGTTGGTCCTGTATGTTACATTCCATGTCCATCTAGTGTCAATTTGTCGAAAGTAAAACGCGTCGTTAAAAATATTATGACATTTCTTCTAGTTAATTTTATTCCTAGTTAGAACCAAACACTGCTGCCAACATAAATTGCGAAGTCCTCAACCGTCATTTAATTTCAACTATGGCGCTTCTCTATGTTCTCTGTTACAACCGTAGAATATCCTGTCACTTCTCGAAGTACACGAACATATACGAATTAACACGATCGCAAAATTGTTGTAATGAGCGCGCCGTAGTTTGATAAAATGTATTTCAAGTAATTGAAAATACAAAAATACAAGTTAAAATGTATTTGAAATACAAAATACAAAATACAATTGTGTCATGTATTTGAAATACAAATTACAAAATACAATTGTATTTCAAATACTGTATTTCAATTACAAGTAGTTCAAATAGTGCCCAACCCTGACCTATCTTAAAAATCAAAACGAGTTCATTTTTGACGAAAGTTCTGAATGTAAGCTTTTAAAAATCTATCCGACTAAGAAAAATGTAAAAATCTTCCAAGCATTAATTGAACTTGATCTTTCTTCTTACAAAAAAGTTCTAAATATTGGTCATTGCCTTATTGGATTAGATCCCTGCTCAATCTTTTATGCTCTTAAAGCTCCGCGGTGTTTTAACTGCAACGGTTACAATCATTCATCTAAGTCCTGCAAGAGCAAAATCTCCTGTCATCGATGTGGTGAAGACGAGGGGTTAATCACTTCTAAAATTTGTATACACCAAATTCAGATTTCATAAATTCGTAAGAAGAATTCAGAAAAAAAATCATGATTCGGAAACTCAAATGAATTCAAACCCAATTCACATGAATTCATGGCGAATTCACATGACTTCATGGCGAGTTCACACGAATTCACGTTGAATTCAAATGAATTCATGGAATTCATGTTGCATTCAAATAAATTTCTGCCGGTCCAAGCGAGTTCACAGCTTAATATTATTTTATAGCAATGAGTTGGTTGGATTTTGGGTTATCCTGAGGGTTAACTTTGTGTTAACTCCAAGGTCCATTATACCCAGTTTTTATTTTTTCTTGCAGTATAATTTCTAGACCTGGATTACAGTTAAAGAATAATACGCAAGAGACGAATTAAAAAAAATATATATATACTAAAGAAAAACAATCAAACATAAACAATAAAATATTCATATAAATATTAGTACCAAAAAAACCTTGAATTCTTTAAACAAAGAACAAAAATAATATAAAAACTCTTAACAAAATACAAACGAGAATTTTATTTTCCGATAATTCTTCGTAACCTATCAGTGCTTTGATGGCAATTGGAGTTTTGCAGTAACCAACAATAAGTACTCTTTTTTATTTCAACAGTTTTATTGCCATCTTGCACAGTAACTGTTGAATTGTCTAGAGTCACTTCGGAGATTTCTTCTACCCCATTCGGGTCGTTCTAAGGATTCTCTTCAAAATCAGTCTGTTCCGTTTCGGTATCAAAATCACTAATATCACTTTCATTACTGTCATGTCTAGTCCTAGTTTTTTTTTTCTAGAGTTTCAACACGCCGAATTTGTGATAAAAAATCATTCTCTATTACAACAATATTCAAGTCCTTGAAAATGGTTGCCACTTGCTGTTTCGTGTTTTCAATTACTGCGATAATTTCTGAGTCATTCGGCAAAGGCGCTGTTTCGTTGTATTCTACATGTTTTTTCGAGGGAAAATGAAAACCATGCAATTCATCTTCAGAATTCATGATCTCATTTTGAACTTGTAATCTCTTTAGCCTATGCAATATTTCCAAAATGCTGAAGTTTACCATTGTACAATGTGTTGACGTCATTGATCTCATTATACGGAAAAAATTTTCACAAGTTTGGCTACTATATAAAACTGGAATGAAATATGCTGATGGCGTGTTGTTTTGTTTGAGGATTCGAGTCAGACTTACAATTGCATGAGCATTAATTTCTATACATGAGTATGCATTCGAACTTACGAAAACGTCCATTTTCAGATTAGGCGATTTTTTAATATATGACCTCCATACTCGAAAGAAAAAAACGGCTACCCATATTTTGAAAATTCTTTCCATCGGGGTTAGGTCTTTACTGATATATGAAGTTACACAATTCTGAATCATTTCGAGATATTAGGCTGTAGCCTGAGCATAACGTTCCTTTAATAAATTAATTATATTGGATGTAATGATCTTTTCTACACTCTTATAATTCATCTTGTCTCTAACATCTAAATCTGACTTGCTAAGCAGATGTTTAGATTTAGGGAAATCTTCTACTAGACTGAACAAATCTTCAACAGTAATTTCGTTCTGTTCTAATATCATTTTTTGCTCTTTCTTCTTGTCAAATCTTTTAGCACTGGTTTTCAATAGGCGATTTCTCAATTTAGTAGCAATGTGGATGATATCTTGAACACACACACCACCAGCTTGAAGCAAAGGGCATGCCAAATATTTACAAAACTCATCACAATGCTCGCCCATTTTCATTTGATACAACATCGTCTTCAGAAGTCGTGTGTCACCATCACTAGATGCACCCAAGATTGTAATATCATATTTTGCAGCTTCTTGCAAAAGAAAGTTCCATCTCTGCATTGCGTCTTTACTGGTAAATTTATTGTCTGTTCCATACAGACATAAACAATATGGTGGGGTCTTTTCTTGTAAGGGCTGCATCATAATAACATATAAAAATCTTGAAACCTTTTCATTGTCAAAATAACTTTTTATAGTTGCCGCATCTAAGGCTGGAAAATTTTTAATAACAGGAAATCCATTTTCTGCCAAAGGAGAAACAAATCCAACCACTTGGTTGG